CTTTCATTAAAATCTGTTTTTCAAAATTCTTTAAATTTATCTACTGTTAGGGAAAACTGCCTGTCAATTGCCAGCAACTGAAACGAGGTAATTTTTAGATACCGAAGTAGGATATGTCTTTGGAACTTTATACAAGAAAGTATGAAAGTCTGTAAACAAGATAGTCTGAAAGTCTCGTCACCTTAACAGCACCCTCCAATCAAAATCTTGACTACAGAAAAGGCTCTTCCCAGCATCCCCCGAACAGGGTGGCTTCCTAGCCTTGTTGTCATGCGAGTTAGTTAGCCGGTTTCTGATCTGTTTGGTGGTGTATAAGCAGCCACTGACTGTCATGAGGAAAGTAAACTGCTTCTGGATCCTCATGTTAAACAGCAGCATTTTTATATGACCATAATGTGGTTGTACTTCTTAAAGCTTGTTCATTTCCTAAATCCTGTGTTCTCTGTAGTGATAGGCTTAGTGGGACTCTAGTTCTGATTGTGACCTTTTTGCAGATCTTTCTTCATTTTAATCTTAGTTGTGAATTTCATAGGGATGCATGATCAAGGTACATAGGGATGTACTTTGCCAAGAAGTCATTATTTTGCTGACAGGTATTTAGCTTCTCATTTTTTATTTATAAAAAAAAGGAGGGAAGTTTTTGTTGGAGCAAGAGGAGGACTGTGTCACCAGATCCCAATTTAGGCAAGGATCGTAGAATCATAGATTACTGGATTGGAAGGGACCTCAAGGATCATCTAGCCCAACCCTTTAAGGTAAAGAAATACAGGTTAAATGAGATCTCCTTATGAGGCCTTAAAGTTCTTACTACTGCCACCACAACAACCTGTATCTTGATGTGGATTTGGGGCTGGACAGCATCTCTGTTTACTTTATAGCTGCATCTGCCTCAGTCACATTTTGATTTATTCTCTGGCTTTATTCTGCATTGTGTATGCTTGGATGCACTTTCTTTCTCTGAAATATATTATGGAGTACAGTCTTGGTCTGTCCCAAAGCAAGAGATTAAAGCTTTATGGTGTAACAATGAATAGAGGTAATAAATATTGCAAAGTTCAATCTTGTGTAAGCATATATATACTTTATGGATCCGCATTAGTTCTTGATTTGGTTTTCACAATAGCTTTTAAACTGAAATACAAGCCTGTCTTATCATGAAAAGCAGCTATTGTACAATTGGCATTTTGTAGTACAACAAGAAAGCAAATTTTGTTTTAGTTTTAGTCTCATTTGCCAGCATTTAGAATGTCTTATTGTGGAGGAGAATGAGTGTTAATTTGCATTCCTCCAGGTCTTAAAGACATGATGTAGTGATAAAAGGCTTAAAAATATATAATTGCTAATATTTCTAAGTACAGAAGACTACAGTGCAACGTAATACTCAAGGAAAATTGTTTTTAATGTATTTCTAAAAGCACTGAAGATACACATTATATTTTATTATAAATCTAGCTGTACAGCATGCAGCATCTTAATGAGGATGTCTTATCATGTTGGAGTGGTGAAATAATACTGCCTTTTAAATGATTGCCAAGTAGTAAGATCTGTTTTCTAAGGCAAATGACAAACGAACATGCTGGTTGTGTGTCTTGGGTTTTGGGAGAGTATGGTAGTTGTTTTTCATGTGACTTTTTGCTTTCCAAAACACTGAGCAGGTGTTTGAAGACTTGTTTCTACTGTACGACTTTCTGCTTTTAAAGATAACTGAGTTGCCTAGTTTTTGTTGTACAATTTAGTGTTTGTAATTAAACTTGATTGTCTAACTTAGATGATTTAGTTGAAATGCCTTTCAAAAAGCGTAAGAAATTGCACATGTGTCTGTTTATATATATATAAACAGTAGAAGTTCCTTTGCAAACAAAACATTTCTGAATATTTTCCCACTTGCATCTACAGAACTCAGGATGAAGTTTTTACAAAGTGAAACATTTTCTGTTGAGTTGCATTTTAGTTATGAAGAACTTGTGCTGCAAATACCTCCACAATAATTTTTCTCCCTCTTTTCTGTTTGTATGTGTAAAAGCAGCCAGACTAGGTAATTTGTAAGGGATGGATGTTGTCATCTCTAAATAATTATTTGCTGTTTCAGTCAGTAGTTGAGAAACAGGAAATACTGCACATCTTTTCTTTGTTAGTGAAGTAGAAAGCAAATGTGGGAAGAAAATCAGCATGATTAAAAAATGCTTGAAATACACTTGTACCTCTTATAATGAACCATACTTCCTTAAAAAAATTACAAAAGTGAATGCACTTGAACTGACACTACTGCGTGACTGAATATTTGCATTCTGCACTAAATTTCAGTTCAGCAATCTAACTCTCAGGAGAGAGGTGGTTTGGACGTGAAGTTAGTAATGCAGTGCTGATGGTAAGGAACTCGACTGAAATCTGACTGGTTTGATAGGTTATTTAACCTACATTTGTGAGTTTGAGCGTTCTCATCGAGCACAGTTCTAAAAAATAGCAGTTGTACACAACATAGTGCTTCTTTCTTCCTTTCAAGCTCTTGATCTGTGTCAGTTGTCTGTTCTTCATGACCAGTGTATGTGGTTACAGAATGAACAATGTACACTCATGCGCTCTATCTTATTTTACTTTTGCCCAGGTGTAACAACTTCTTAGTGTGAATTTTAGATTATTGTTGTTTTGGTTCCTTTTTAAATAAATCATTGAAGTCAGTGGTGTAGATGTTGACCCTTTATAGACGTAAAACTTGAAGTGTTCTGCTGTGAAGGTGACCTTAAATTTAGGAGATATTTCTGTTGTGTGGGGTTTTTTTATATCCGTTTTAATACTGAAGAAAAAAATGTGAGAAAAACTTACAACCGCAGACATTTACTGTTGTTTTTCCTGAATCTTTTGTAATCAGATTTCTTCAAATCAGCTCTGCTAAATGAGATCTGAAACAAGTTTAAATTTAATATTTTGACCATTTCTTAAAAGTAAATTTATTATTATAAGTAAGCATTTCTGACATAGTGTATCAGTATCATGCATTTAATAAAGTGTTTGACACTGGACAGTGTTCCATTACTAGCTATAATCACACTTCTGAATAAACACTTATATGAGGGAATTGCACTTTGATACATGCAAAGTTTAAATTATGATATTTGCAGATTTAGGAAGACAGTCCTGCAGTGCCAAAATATAATACCAGGCAAGGTAACTAGACATTCATCAAGTAATTTTAAGTGAAAGATGAATTTGCATTAAAAATGTTAGGAATAGTTTTTAAATTTTCTGGAGAGAAAAATCTAGATATGAGCATTTGTCCATTAATTTTGAGTATTATATACATTCAGGGGGTTTACAGAACACCTATTGTAAAGGGTGAATCTACTGAACATAGAGAAGGTAATAATACTGAGCTGTTACTACTTTTTCTACCAAGAGAAAAGATTTTTCTTTCCACAAGAAATAAAGAAAATAAACTTATTCAGGTGATTTACTGAATTTGTAGAATGCGTAAATATGTAATACAGACAGTCACACCTAACCTTAATTATTGTGTATGTGCCATCACACCTAAAAGACAATGTGCATCTTATTTGCAACCTTTGAGGAGGTTTTTGTCTTCACTGTCAAAACCAGAACTGTCCAAAAGCTGCTGATAGAGGAAATCCCCAGCCCATAGAACTTGATCTGTTCTTTAAATGCAGCAAGTTACCTGATTTCACTTTTTCTACATGCTTTGCTGAGACAGAAATAAAGCCACATAATTGTAGCAGTTTTCTTGGTATATGAATTATCGTGTGATTTCTGAATATTTTCCTTTTCTCACGACTAGCTCAATTTCAGTTGCAGTTACAGCAGTAGCATTTTGTATGGACCTAATATTACGACACTTACCTTGTCTTTCAAAGTATGAAATTTGAAAATTCGTCTGACAAAGCCACTGACTGCATATTTGAAAAGAAGATTTACAGAATCAGAAAATATACATATATGTATATAAGTACAAAAGTTTGTGATTCACTTTTGGAAAATCTTTTTTTCTGCTTTTAACTCTTATTGTTTTCATGACAACTATTTGGTTTTTTTAGACTCTGAAATACAGGCGGTGCTTTTATTCTTAAGTCTAGTTGAAACATAACTAGTACTGAGAAGAAAGTTCTTAATGTTGTACAGCCCTTAAATTGTTTCCCTTAAAGTGCTTTTCTTCATTAACCAAAGAACTTTGAAAGAAGAAAATCTCAGTAATTTACTTTCCTGCAAATTCATGTACGAATTATATTTTTACTAATTTTATTCTTTGTACGTACTTATTACAAAGATGAACAAAAAATCAAAAGTCCTGCTACCAAGTCAAAGGTTCCAAAGCATATATAATTAAACTCCTATGAGTATAAATATTCCTTGGTTTAAGTGTAGTGTTTAATTGTTATATAAGATTCAAGATTGCAGATACAAATCTAAAATTATTGTAATTCCTATTGCCCAATCTTGTCAGTGATATTTTGTAGCTCTTCTTTTAAAGTATCCTCTTCCACTGTGGAATCTAATCTTACCTTTAAGTCCTCTTATGGCAGCTCTGTTTAAACATTTGTTTTAATTTCAGTTCATTTACTTTAATACCTTAATCCTCTACATCACTTTTTAGTGGAAGAACAGTTAGAAAGACGAGCAAGTCGAATGCTTTGGGTGATCATCTAGGTCAAGTGTGCATTGGAAGTTAAAGAGAAACAGGGACTTCCTAGCAAGAATCTTGTAGGTATACTGGTTCAAAACAAAGGTGGCAGGTTTTTTCCAGAGAACAGAAGACCACATTAGAGTTTTTCTTATATTCACTAGTTTTCAAAATGAGCTGCAAAGTATGTTAATCCATTTATTCCTGAAAGCCTTAGCTCTTTTAGACTTGAGAAGTACTAGTTCAACCTGGCTGTGTTTGTTAGAGAAGAGACAGTGTATGAAGTCATTACATAGGCAAGAAGAGCAGATCCTTCAGCTTCAGAAATCCGCAGAGCAGTGACGTGGCGTTCCATTCAATTTTTTACCAGATATCACAGACTGGAAATGTGAGCTTTGGCTGATACTGCTGGGAAGGAGAGTGCGGCAGGCAGCTGTAATTCCCATCCTGTAAAGGTACTGATACTTAAAGTCTCTGTAGTCCAAATTGGTACACAAAAATACTAAAATGTTGAATTTGGACCTTAGACCTACTTTCACAATTCGTTTTCTGCCAACCGTTCCTGGATGTTCTGTGGAAACCTTTACAATTTTTTTGCTTTTTGGATATGAGTAAGGAGAAGGTACTTTGGGGAATTACTTACAGGTTGCTTCCTGAAATACTGTCTTATTGTAACAAGACAACTTCTATGTAGAATGCAGTTCTAGAGTTTTCCTGGAGTTTAACTTTGAACAAGAGATTGTCTGAAGTCCCTGACCCGATTGATTTTAAGTTAAGCCAGAATTCTGTTTCACATACTTCCAAGGCTGGTTGCTCCAAAATCAAGTTAACTCTCCTCACTGATTTTTCTGCCTCAGAAAATGTAGCTCAATTTTGAGTTTTATTTATTCTTAAAAAAAAAAAAAAAGAGATTTTTCTAGTTTTTAGAAGAGTCTTAGCAGTGTGATGTTGCTGAAAGGTATTTCAGCACAGGGTGAGCCGCAGACAGTTGTTGCAGTACAGTCATTGACCGGATCTTTGTAGCATCAGGCTTGTCGGCAGTACTACTCCAACTACAGTTGTGGTCCCTACAGGGAGGAATCATAGCAAAAAGTAAATTTATTGATGGAATAAGGTATTTTTTCTTGTGGTACGCTCTTAAGGAATCATAAAGCCTAGAGAGTAACTGAACATGGACGTGACTCCATCTACTGTAAAACCCATTCCGTTTTATATATTTTCAGGGAGTATGGAGTGGCACAGGAAGGAAATGGCATATCGCTGGAAAGTTGCTCTAATTCAGCACAGGATTCTTGTGAGATATTCCTTCTAATATTGCATCATCCTATTCTGTTTTTCACAGTTTACAGTCTAATTTCTTAATTTATTTTTTTTGCCACTTTTGTTCGCATCAGTAACCACATAAAAATTTAGAAGATTAAATAGGCCATCGTCAGTGCTAGCAGTGCACATCTGATAGTGTGACAATTTATATATTTTTTCGTAGTCCATTATGTGAGAGCTTATGGTTTTAGTAAGAAAACTACTTTTCCTTTTTAATAAAGTTTGCTGGTTTTTTAACGTTCCATTTCACTGAGTAATGTGAGATCCCACACACAAGCCTCTGCTGCTTCTACCTCAATTAATGTTTCTGATAATAGTAAAAGTAGCACTTCAGTAGAGGAAAGAAATAGCACCCTTGGAAAACCCAAGAAAATTAGTGAGGAAAAAAGGCATCTCAATAGTTACTTCAGTTACATAGCAAGATTTTACCTTCAGTTTTGTTTTCTTTTGCCTGAGCTTACTACCTTTATCTAAATTATGATTGCTTATCAAATTCTGTAGCTTGAAGGAAAGTATTTTTCTTTTTCCTGATCTATAATGTCAAAGGAAAGCCTGAAAGATTTTATTTTTTTTTTGTATAGGTACTGACTTAAGGTCAGCAGTGACACTAAAAAACCACATTTTCAGATATAATAGCAAGCTCATTGTGTAAAGATAGTCAAAGTGAAAAATTAAATTTTGGTTTTGAGCATATATTTAGAAAAATGTTTACAAAACAAGAAGAATATCCTTTAATTAAAGAACTCTCTTATACTGCCTTTTTTTTTCCTTTAGGTAGTGGGCATTTGGAGATGATTCATTAATTAAGTTGAGCATAACAAACTATGGCCAGCTTTATAACCTTTTATTGAACTCTCTCTGTGGACTCATAACTGCAATTTCAGATGGAAGCTATGTGCAATCCCCAGAAATAAAGTGTTTTTCTATACGATAGGGGTTTTTTTGCAAACATGAGCCTGTGTTTTCCTCATTTTTAATGCATTTTTCACAGAGTAATCCCGTAAACCAAATTGGGAACATGGTGTCTACCAATATTGAGTTAATCCTATCTTCCTTTTCATTGAAGCTCATCCATTCCAGCTTTTATTCTATTAGATAGTGATTTTTTTTGCTGAAACTGTATGACTCCACTGTTTCATACTCTTCTTTGTTCTTCTTCCTGAACCACATACGTATGTAATTTGTTCATACTCGTTTCAGATACTGACTATTGCACTCTAGTCATGATCACCTACAAGAAGCTGTTATCCATCTGTGAGTTTGACTTCAGGTATCTCATCTGGTAGCTTTGCCTGCCATCATCTCATTTCAATCTATGTGCCAGAGATTTGTTTCCTAAAATTCTTTATTTACTAGAAATAAGTGATCTTACACATAAATTGGCCAGGACTGTGTCTTGTTTCTTGCGATTACTCACATATCTAGTTTTCTTGTCCCGTATTCTTAGAGCATCTTGTCTTAACTGTGCTCATCTTCTTGTAGCTACTCTGCATGGAACTTGAAAAAAAAAATAATTCTAAAGCTTATCTCAGTTCTCTTCACAGACGCTTCTCATCCATTTTTTGGTTACTGAGGATAACCTACTCTTTCTTTTCAAGACTGTAACTTTTGTGTCAAATTGTATAGCCAATCTATGAAATGTCAGATTGCCTGTCACTAAACTCTGCTGTTTGTCTGTAAAAACCTTAAAATGCTTGTTCTTCTTTACAGGTTAACAGAGCCTTATCTAGGTCCTTAACTTGTTTTTCTTCAAAAAGTTACTTGAAAGTCTCTTGACTAGGACCTTTCTCTGATCACACCACTTCAATGTCCTTGCTTTCTAACTCATATCTAATGCAAAATGTTGTTCCTGCTCTTCAGAATTTTCTGTACTTGGACTCGCTTTTCCTAGAAAGAATTTTACAATATTGAACTCGCAGCCTTTGTTAATAACTATAATTGTCCCAAACCACGTGTGATCTCTTGCATGAAGACAGCTCTTGTTAAAAACGTTTGAACTTTTATGTTCTTTTCCAAACCTAGTTATAGAATCTGTCTTGGTGAAGTTAGAAATGCCAGGTTATAGCTGGGAATCATGAGTTAATACCACTTTCTCTTTCAGATTTTAGAGTAAGCAAAGCAAAAATAAATACAAACAGAGACTGAAATATCTGAATAATTTCTTTCATTAAGTGCATACATTCCCTTTTGCTCTAAACACCAATACTTTTCTCCTACTGCTTTAAGCGTCTTGTTCCATCTCTTTTCTGTCGTAGTTCAACATGTTTCCATTAGTATCTACTGCCACAAGGTTCAGTTGTGAGGAACGTGAGAGGGAAGATGAATCTTAACATGAATATAAACATCCACTTGTAAAATCAGCATTAAGCTTGAATAAACTTCCAAAACTCATCAGTAAACTTGAAGGATGAAATTATCGATGCAAAAAGTATCTTTTTGCCATTTACAGAATTCTTGTCTTATTGCTCTCATTGTTTAGAAGATTCAACAATAAGGATTGCTTGGTCTGTGTACTTTAAATGTAACTGCACTGTGGCTGTGTAACTGAATGTTTAAGTGCCTAGAAAACACATGAATTTTTGTCTTTTCTAAGGTATGACTGATAACGCAAGAATACGCTACTCTACTGAAATCTGTGCTTTGTGGACTTCTGTTGAGTTTTGTGCATGAATAACTGCCATGGAATTAAACTGGGAAAATGACTGTTCGGCACAAAATCAGATATTTACTTGTCTTCTCTATGATAGATAAAAATTCTCATGTTCCAACACTTTATTTTTATGTTTAGTGTAGTAGCCATGTTAAGAATGAAGATTTTTTTTTTTTTACCTTTGTAAGTACTTCAGGTTTAGTGCAGAAATACATCTGTATCTGAGTATTGAGTATATACAAATAGTTTATGTATTTTTGTATGTTACAATTTAGCTTGCAAGGTCACAGTATTTAGAGTACGTTTCCAGAAATGTACTAATTTGGAGTTTTGACAGTGTTAAAGAAGTGTTTCAATATACAGTAATCTTTTTTTCCTTCTGCTGTGCAGCATATAATAGTTATTTTATGCTGACTTAATGTCTTGCTTGAGAATACTTTCAAGGACATCTTTGATTAGATTGATCAGGCTTAATGAATATGTATGTGTATTGGACTAAATTGTAGGTTGCATTTAAAAATAAACTGCACTGTGTGTATCATATTATAGTAGATTGCAGTGAAAGAATGAGGCCATCCATTCTAAGTGTGAGATTAAGTAACTTTGTGTTAACTCCATTAAATAGTACTGTAAAAATAAACCCTATAATTTGGAAATTAATTCTGAAACTTGAAATTAACCTATGTGGTATATACAGAGATATAATCTTTAATGCCTGTAGTTTCTTTCAAGGCCAGTTGAAAGTTGAAAGCTCTGTATGGTTAAAAGATGAACTTTTAGATGAACTTGGGGGACAAGTGTTTTTAATATGAGTTAAATAAAATATGTCTGTGTCTGCTTTGTCAACTTGTTATTAGTTAGTATGCTATTTAGAGTTGTTGAAATTAGGGGAGGGTGCACATAGAAATGTCTTACAAGGAATATTCTGCTTTTAAATGGTACCTTAGTAATTTCAGCACTTTTCTGACTGTCTGGTGTGGTGCGGTGTAAGATGCTAATTATATGTGTTTAACTGACAGTCATTGTAGTTTAACTGAAAGAGCTCTTCTTCCTTTCTAATGCCTTTGCTCATCCCACTTCAAAATATTTGAAGTATTTTGGGAGCAGTATACTGACAGATGGCATTGTGAAAAGACTTTATCAGATTTCCATAGAGGCTCTGGTTTTTTGAAGTTTTCTTTCTCCCTGTCATTCCTGAAAACCAAGTATGACTTTAGAGGCTTGATCATTTAAAACAACAAAAAAAAGTTCCCTAGCCTAAATTAAGGCTCATTACACAAATTATAGATTGATTCATTATAAAGGGTACATTTTTAACAAATTGCTCTGAGCGGTATTTCTGCAGGTTTCAATACGGCCTAATTTGTTGGTATTTATTGAGCAAGTCTTTTCAGGATGACCAGGCTAGAATGATCTCTTAGCAGCCTTACTGCTTCAGGACTGACTGAAATAAGAGGAAGGAAAATTCTGTTTATTAAATCACTTGTTTAAGATCCAGCATACAGATGCCAGTTGATCAAGAACAATTCCATAGCTGTAAAATGCTTTAGTATATAAAAAATATAACCATTTTGTATTGATAAATCCTTGTAGTATTTTAGTAGTATTTCCTGAAATAAAACATTATTCAACTACCTTTAATTAGGATATTTTAATAGTGATTGCCACTTGTGAAGCTGGCTTCACTTCTCTTTCAGATCACTGCAAAACTGATAATGTAAACAGAATGAGAAGATGTTTCACACATTAGTGAATTGGGATTTTTACAGTAAGCATTCATGAAATAAGAAACTGTTTCGTTTTATTTCTTCACCCCATCCAAAGCTACATAAAAAAAACCATTCAAACAGTTAAAAAATAATATTGTATACCCTTTACAAAAATCACATCCTAAGGACATTGCTTGTTCCGTAGGAATTTTAACAGCAGTGAACACATTTGCATAGATTATGAAGTTTATAGATCCTTTACTGTGGCTGTGAAAACCAGTGTTGCAGGACCATAAAAAATGACCCAGTGTGACTCAAAGAAACTTAAGTGTATGTGTGAGGAGGAGAAAATTAATTGGCAAATAAATACGTTGACTAGAGGAAAGTGCTTTGGAGGTGTTGGCAACATCAGGTTTATTGTTTTCAGCAAAGAATTTCAACCTAAAATAAACTTCTCCATGATAAACATACAACAATTGTTAATATAAACCAGAGTAATGTGTATTTCATTATGTAACTCTAGGTGAGTGTATTTCTGTAGAGATTAGAAACCTAGCAATAAAAGACTCATAACGGATTAAATATAGAATATGTAGAACCATGCAAAATGCTGTAAA